TATACTTGAATTCTGGCTCCGCCACTGCATGCACACACGGCCGTCTAGGTAAGATTGATGTCCTCGACTTCTGCTCGAAAGCTTCTGCAAGCCACCGAATCGTCCCTTTAATCAGGTTAGTGTGCTTCGCAACTCAACCACAATGCCAAAGTCCCTGCTGCCCGTGATTCGTCAGCCTTCCTTTGAGAAGCGCCGTCAGCGCTTCCATCTGAGGATCCGGCCAGCGCCCATCTCCTTCCACCAGCGCCCGCTTCCTTCCACCCGAGGATCCCGCCAGCACCCGTCTCCTTCCGCCAATGCTCGCCTCCTTCCTGGTCTGACCAGAGGATCCCGCCAGCGCCTGCTAGTGCTTGCCTCCTTCCGCCTCGTTGTCAGATCCTTGGCCGCGTGGAGATAAGCGGTAGGAGTGTGACAGCGGTGAGAGATGATGGGAGGGTGGAGCGAGGTGAGAGATGAGACGAGAGGCAGGAGTGCTTGGTCGAGGGAGAGAAGGCAGAGTCTGGGAGATGGGCGCGCGACGAGCGGGAGGACGGCGGCGATGCCATGGAGCGGTTTGCGGCACGGGCGGAGAGCCAGCGAAGCGTTATCTTTCACTAGGCGGTGGCAAAACAGTTTTAATATCAGCAAAGAGCGCGATGGTCGTACGATCTAGAGCGGGCGACATCCAGAGCGTTCGGATCTGAAACGAAAATCCTGCCGACAGGAAAATAGCTTTTCCCTACATTAAAACCGTACAAGTTCAACTAAAATTTAAAAAAACCTAGAAAAAACCATGCGAGTGACCAGACAGTAACCTTGTACCCATGCCCGCTCTAGTCCTCGGCCGCCTACTGCTCGTGTGGCGGCTTCCTTTGCCGCCACACGCTTGCCCGCAAACGCCACACTGGCTAGGCGGCCCTGCGCCACGCAAATGTCTCTGTGGACTGTGAGGACCCAGTTCGGTGCTGCGCGTCGCATCGCTCCTGTCGCTCCTCCGTCATGGTGATATGCAGCCGCCACCACGGATGAGCAGGGCGGAGACAGGGGGACGAGGCAGGGGCCAAGTTCAACTAAAATTTAAA